TAGTTTGGTCATTAGCTCTGTGTTAGGTCTTATTCCTCTGGCCTCCACCTGCCTCTCCAGTGTGACTGACGGTAAGCTTTCTCCCTGTGAGCCCTTCCTCAGCTCCTCTGTGCGCCAACACAGCCTCCCCACTCGCCCCTGCAGCCCACACCACATTGGCCCAACTGACAGCTACCCATTGTTGGTGTGTCTGTTTACCCTTCACTTCTCAGGGAAGTCTTCCCTGAGGCCACACCCCAGGGGAGGTCTCCCGGGTCTGCGCTCTCCCGGCCCCCTGCTGTAGCCTCTGGTTCTCCATGGAAACACTCATCCCCTTTCCCATATTTATTGTTCACGCTGCCCTTCCTGGTGAAGAGAAGCCCCGTGAGCACCCGGGCCTGACGTGGGCACAGCTCCATCACCAGAACTCCATCTAGCATAGGGAAGACAACAGTTGAGGCCATGTGTTTGAGGTTTTACTACTCAACTCAGTACTTCAAGTTACATTAGTTAATTAGGAGCAAATTGGTACATTGTGCCCACTGTGCTGATACTCCTGTCACCAAACTAATGGTGACCTGTGCCCTCCTGGGGACTCTTTAGAACACCAGAATATTAGAGCCTGGCAAAGAGAGATATGATACATTTTCTCATTTACACCCCCACCACTAATAATTACTTTTTCTTAGTCTCTTTCCACCTTTAACTGTGAAATAGGCTTTAAAGTTCAAATGAGAGAGTAGTTGAATGAACAGTATATGAAATAAAGAACAATAGTATTGGCCTAACAACAACTCATAGAGGTAATTCATGAGCATTAACTAGTTTGCATGCTTTATCAAGGACATGCATATACACAAATGAAATTTCTTCCTAAATTATTTCCTATAGACTGGAAGTGGTGAGAAATGATATGAAAAGGGAGGATGTTGCAATAGATATACATTAATAAAGCAAACCGTTGAGGTCATACTACTCACTTTACTTTAATATTGGTAATGATTACAAATATTGGAACAATGCATTAAGTACTTACAATAATTATGTAAGTAGCCAAAAGGAATTTTGAAGAGGTTAATAATTTCCCATCCCTGTTCAAAGTATATTAAACATTGATTGATCAGTAGACTCAAGGTATGAATCAATCGGCAGTCTCCTAGGTGGGAGCTCTAAACTGAGAATCCGAGGGAATGGTGTGGATTTACACATCTCTGAAAACGGTGCAATAAATATTGTATACGAATTATTGCTGTTTTTCAAGAGACAAGTTTCTAGAAATGACTAAGATAGAAAACGCTTCAGGCAAGTCAGTGCAATGTATGGAAAATTCAGGAAAGGTCACAATAAGTTCATTAATAACAAAGGAAATATAAATAAGTGGTTTTAAGTAAGATTAACAAGGATTTTTACTGTAAATGTAATGTGTAGATATATATATGTGTGTGTATATATACATATATATGGAACTGCATTTAATGAATTCAAAAATATGTCTCCACTAGCTAACTAGAACACAATGTAGCATAATATCACTTTTAACTCCACTCTGGGTTTCCTGTTTTGGCAGATTCACCTCATTGAGGCATTGTGGGAGAATCAGAGTCATTTCTACAGCATTCATGAGGTCTCCAATGGGGACATCCCTTACAAAGAAAGGCAGAACGATCATAGGTAAATACAGTCAGTGAAGGGGGAAATCCACAGGAAAACAATTTTTTACTGATAAATCCTCTTTGCATTTAATATCTCTTACCCTATGTGAGTGGCTTCTCAATAGGATACAGGGAATTAGGAGATACAATAGCAACTTATTGATGTCCATAAGCAGAATGGTCTCTCCCCTTTCCTGGGGAGCCCAATGTGCCAGAAGCTCTCAAAAGACACTCAGATGCTAATTCCAAAAATAACCTAAACATATTCGTGTCACCTGAAATCTGAGACTTCCTATATTGACAACGCTATAAAAGGAATATAAGGTAAGTCAGTAAAACAGATATACCAAAACTATGCCTAAGTTCAATAGAAACAGAAGAAACAAAAACAGAATTTTCCAAAGAGAAATAAAGATAAAAATAACAGATAAAAAAAGATAGCTGTAGATCTGAGAATTTTATTGTGGTAAATTGAATTTTGGGCCCCAGTTATTTGCCCCTCCTTGTGCCCATGCTTTCTTTCACCATATAGCTTTCCTGTTTCTCTTAAAAAGAGAGAAAGATTTCCCCACTCCTTGGAACACAACCTAAAACTTGGTTTGGCCAATGGAATGTGGACAAAAGGGTCTGTAAGTTATGCACTGTGGTTTCTGTTTGCCTTCTTGCTCTTTCGCCATTGCCACAAGAAGAACGTGAGCGACACATGGGGCAGAGCTGGGTCCATCTCACAGAGACGCCTGGCCAGAACTGCACCTAGAAGAAAAGCCACCCAGGCAAGTCCAGCCTCGGTTGGCTATCCCCTACCTGGTGTATGTGCATAGAATGAATAAATGCCTCTGTTTGAATGGCACTGAGATTTTGTGGTTATTTGTTACACAGCATTATTCTGACAATAGCCAAGTGATACACTTACAAAACATTAAAATGAGAAAAAGGGTATGCTTTTCCCTTAGGAATCTGACAAAATATTTCTCTCTTCCCAAGACTGATCGTTCACTCATTTACGAGGAAAGTCGGCAAATTCACATCTGATTGATCTAGAGAATGTTACATCCAATGAGTTCCTTCTAGGTTGGCCACTGACTCACTTTTCTCCTTACTATACTAACAATTGTATTAACTTTCAAATGTTTACCCTTTCCTCTCATGTGTTGGGGATATTAATGACTGTAACCTCATCTGTAAACTTGTAGAATTAAATTACACCAGTAATGTTCTTGAATGTTCTTGGGGTCCCATGGTTCCAATCAGGTGTTTGGAGGAGACAGCATGATGGAAGCAGAGAAGGAAAGCTAAATGGCTGGATGCTAACCTTGCACCAGCAAAACTCTGCTCTGCCTTAGATCTTGAGAATATTGAGATTTCGCTTGGAAAATCAGTTCCCCTGCTTAAAAAGTAAAATCAAAACGACTAGACAAAAGGTTTTTTGATGTCTCCTCACACTGAAAACACTGTACTTAAGTGTTTTGTTTTAGCCACTCCTGTCTAATCATCACTATTGCCATGAACCCTAACTAAAGATATAATCACCTCAACTCCCGTCACAACTTCCTGACGTGACTCCCTGCGTTAAGTTATAAATTATGCCACTTCACTCCCCTGCATCAAGTTAGAGTAAAACCACCTCTGGTGGGGCCTTCAGGCTCTGCTTTCTCCACAGTCTGATTTCCTGCCCCTTACCTCACCTGCCATATTGGCTTGAAACACACCCAGCTCAGAGTTTTCTCCCATGCTGGTCCCTCTGCTTGGAACACTCTTCCCCTACTCTTCATGTGTCAACTTCTTATTATGCTACAGTTTTCCACTGATAAGTCACCAGGCTTTCACCGATCACTCAAACTAACGTAGGTCCCATCTGCCTCCATTATTCTCCATGACAACACATCTTTTGTGTCCTCTTCTTTGCACTCACCATGACTTACGCTTACAGGAGCATTTGCTGGCTACTTTTATTATTTGACTTTCCATCAAGTACAAGCTCCATTATTTTTGCATTCCCAGGACCCAAAGCATTGCCTGGCACATGATATATGCTCAGTCATATGAATGAGTAAGTGACTTTCTTAGCTTTTATCAACAGGCCTTTTTCTCACTACCACCTGCCTACACCATTTAGTATTTCCCTGTTAATACATGGTCCCAGTCTCTGACATGCTCACACCTGCTCTCTCTCTTACCTTCCTTAATTCTTGTACAGTGTTCCTTATACCCCTGCATGTCAGAATTTTCTCTTTCAACTTGCTTTATTCTTATCTTATCCTTTTCACACCGATGGCCACAATCAGATCTGTTCTGGGACATTATTATCAAGCTGATCCTGAATCTTAAAATTAGATTATACCTAGAATGAACTTAACAATAACAGTTATTCAATAAATGTGATCCACTACCTAGAGAAGTAAATGCTCTATGCTGTTTTTCTGAGGTGGGGGAGGGCTTTGGGGAATGCCCAAATTTCAAGCATGGTAACCAGCATATAGTTTCAAGTAAGCAATGACCAAAGTCCTAACTAATTTCATTATCTTTTGTCAGAAAAAGAGACAGAAATAAATGTCTGGTTTGTGTATAGGCTAGGAAACAGGGACCTGATGAACAAGAATGTGGTGTGTTTTCCCAGTAGTGCCCTGAGCAGAGATAACAGATCTGAGGAATGGTAACATTATGATCATTAGAGAAGTGAAGTCTGTGGGGGGCGGTAGGTTGGTCATGAGCTCTCACGACACTTTGGATGCTCTCAGAGTAGGCACGAGGCTTCTGGCTTCCAGAAAGAGAACTCTCCCAGAAGTGAAAAAGTTGGCATTTTGGCTTAGACCAAAATGTCTCAGTGCGTTTGTTTGGTATGAGTCAAGTTAGAAAAATTCAATGTATTCTGAGTGAAGTGAAAACATTTAGTTTCCTTATCTACAAAGCTGAGATCCGTACTGTCAACCATAGTCCAGAAGGAAAGTGCCCTGGCCAGCAGTCAGTAGCTTTCCCAGATACCACCTCGATGGTGCCTGGCTTCCGTCCTCATTCGTGTATGGGCCACGTGTCATTTCATAATAGGTGCCACACCTACGGTTATTTATCTCTGGCAATTACATTATGTACTTCTGTGAGCACAAGATGACACAAAATGGAGTCAGATAATATGAGCATTTTGGGTCACCAGGGCAATCGGGCATTGTTCGAGCCAAGACACAATTCTGTACCTTTGGCACATGCTCGTGGGTGTGACGAAACTAGGGGTTTCCCTTTTATCCAAATGAAGAAGTTGGATAATGTCTCGACAAACCATGTGGGGGATCACCAACTACCTGCAGCGATCAGCACAGGGAATAATTCAGGAAGGAAGGAAGGGATTAAGGAAAATGACAAAAATTTTCAAACCTGGCACTGATATCTTCCCCACGGTTGGATGCTTCATCTCCATAATGAGGCCATTGTGTAACACCTTTAAATGTAAAAACAGACAGAAAAATAAATTACAAAATAAAACTATTTAATCTGAGGGAGTTCGAAAAGCCACCTATTCGGTCCACTGAAGAGAAGATCTCGCAAACACAGAACTGTTTGGAATTTTAATTTGGAAGTGAATATTTTAAATAAAAATATTTCCATCTTCTATGAAACCAAGTGAAGCCAAAAAGAATTAGAAGGTTCCAGGACTAGCAAACTACATTTTTTAATAAAGTCTTCCCATTCTGAAAAATGTTATTTGCTCCTAACTATAGGGTATGAGTTTCCCCCTTTCATCTATGTTTGATCCTCTAAATACTAAAGCTCGGCCTCTTCCTGCATTACCTCATTGCAGGACACACGGCCAAAGTCAACTGCAGGAGGACAGAATGGGAGAAGAACCAGGACCTGGAACAGAGCAGCCCACGGGGGTAGTACATGTGCTCCTGGCAATTTATGCAGTGGAAGGTGTGGGGAGACAGTCCAGTTTGAAAGGTGAATCAGAGTAACTAGGAGGCCCAGTGGCTGGTGGAAGTGGACAGACTCAGGGCTGCTGTGACCAGCAATAAGCAGATCCAGGAGCCCAGAGTGGACTCAGGTCAAATGCTTGAACAGGAGATGGAAACCAGACATGTTTTCAGTGGTAACAAGACCATAACTATCAGACTTGATCTCAGAACGAGGAGTTGGTGCGGAGCTGGCAAGGAGAAATGTGAGGAAAAAAAGAAAATAAAAACAGAGACCCCATCCTAGAGGGCTGGTTAGGTTTCCATGCACTGGAACCAAGATAGGTATTTGGCGTCCCATCAAGAGCACAAGGTAGACTTGACCTCGGGGTTAAGACTCAAGGCCAGTTACTAGGACAGGGACATTCTATCAGGACCTGGGCGGCAGAAATGTGACTTGATGTTGAATTGCTTGATTACTGATTACCTAAATCCTTGGCTTTCATTTTTCCTATGGGGTGGGTAGGAATACAGAATCCGCCAGGGATCGAGAGTGCTCTAACTACAGGTAGAGGACGAGACGAGGGCATGGAACTAGATTCTAGAACCTAAAATTTGAATTACAGGAAGCAAAACATTTGGCCAAACACAAATGAAAATGCTACAAAGTTGGTTTCCTTTGTTTATTTGTTTTTTTAACAACTGGAGGCTACCTGGGTATACTGTCTCAAAGAACCCCAAAATTCAATTTACTATTTCTATTACTGAATGTTCACTTAGACGTATAAGGGCAACTTATGCATGAATTTACTTCATCTGTACTGCCTACCAAATGGAGAGCTTCTCTCTTCCTGTTTTGTAAGCGATCTAAAGGGCAGAAGTGTTTCAGGGGCACAAAAAACTTATGGACCAGGATTTCATGCTAATATCCCAAACAGCAGCAGTTGTAATGGTTCTATAGGATTTTGAGCTGCAGGTAAAAACAAGATCTGCATATCCATACCCTCATCATAGTCTTTTCACACAGAGTTAAAAGAGCATGGAATAAATAAACTAATAAAAATGTTTTCTCACTTGGACAACCCAGGGAAAGAGGTCAAATTTCTTGGGCTCTATCCATTTCCAGTGAGCTTTTTGGTCACGTTATGGAATAAGCCAATAAGACAACCTCACAGGTGACGTTTTAAGGTTAGAGGTATAACTCTGCTTTGTCTCAATATTCTGGGGCGCCTCTGTTTTCTTCGGGAACGGTCACCACCTTTGGGGTGATGCTCTTTAAACAACCATGTCAACCCCCCTCAGCGAGGGTGATGCCACACCATATGGAGATCCTTTCTAGGGATGCCTTGCCTCTCTTTTGGAATCACCAGCTTTGCACCCAGGAGCTGGCCAGAGAAAATTCTTGCCAGTGTTAGAACTGAGCTATAATTTAACTCTGGTGTGGCTCGTTCTCAGCACCCGCCCAGCACAGCCTCCTCCTATGTGGGGGTGGGGGCTAAATGCCAAGGCGAGGTGCTAAATCTCAGTTCTACTGAGGACAGGAACAAAAATACCAAGCTAAATTTCACTCGAAACAATTATCTGCACACTGAATCATTCTTCTCTTCTCATATCTGTTGCCCTCCTGACTACCTCTTTGTAATAACACTGCAGTGCTACTCACAAAAGACAAAAGTGAGTGTTCTTAGCTAAATATAACTTAACTGATACTGTTGAAATTAATTAACGCTGAATTTTAATCGTGGAGGAAACGTTAAGTGTCAAACGTGAAAGGGTAGTTGGTAAAGGTCAAGGGACATATGTCAAAGTTTTGTGAAGCAAAAGCTCGCAGCTGATTGAAGTTTTTCAGGGAAGCAGCTTAAAGAATGTACTTCCTTCGGCCCTACCCTCATTACTGTCTCTATATGATCTTCCCAACATGAAACTTTTTAATCCAGCCTCCTCACTTCCCTCGCATCGAAAATCATTCAGTTTCAGGCAGAAATATAAACTGGTCTCATGCTTGGCACAGGAGGTTAATTGCCGTTTTTTCATTTGCTGTAGCATTTGTACAATTATGAAATAAATGGGCTAGCCGGTGCCCCCATCTTCATAAAGCACGGACTTATTCCCCTGCTTGGTCACCACCCACCTTTTTACGGAAAATCTGAAGTCAATACAATTCCATAGGCTTCCTTCGTGAATCAGGTCAGATTATCTCGCGGAACAATTGAAGCTGGAGCTCCGCTGTCCCTGGAAACCCTGCCTAATGACTCGGAATCTTGGAAAACTCTCCAGCCTTGTTTGTGGGGCGAGTCCTGCTCTGCTTAGTAACATCTTCGAGAATCTCAGAACCCAGGCAGTCTGTCTGAATTTTAGCATAAATCTCTCCTGCTGCACTTCGAGTGTATTGTCTTCCCCTAACTTCATTGGAAACGGAGGACCTTGGCGCTCACCAACATTTGTGTAACATTTCTTTGGGAATGGTTACTAAATGTTCCCCATTCCTTTTCTCACCCGGGCTCAACACCCCAAGCCCTAGAAATTCAGATGGAAAGCGATTCATTTTCTGAACGCTCACAATGGAATGGGGACCTCAGCTCTAGGGACCTCTGACACCATTTTCTCTTAAGGCAATGTCATGCCTGGAACCCCTCAGCCCGGCCATTTGGGGCATCTGGGGTATGCATTTAGTTATTTTTAAATGAGGCAAGGAACCTTCCCTAGGACTTTGCGGTGGATGTTGTCCTTCTTTTCCTTATTTTATTCTCCCTAGATCTCTCATGGTGGGGTAGCTCTTCTAAATTTCATTTCTTCTCCTTATAATTTCAAAAGCCTATTCCTGACAAGAATAGAATTGTAGAGAGTGCAACAACCTCTTTAGCAAAGTATCAGGCCGATTTAAAATAAGGTCTTTCTTTCTTCTTCAAGAGTTTCACGGATTGACAGCCTAATGACAGAGTCAAATGGTACTGTATTAATGAAGGGGGGTGGGGGGAAGAGTAAAATGTATACCTTAAAGTGATGCGGGAAATAAAAGTTTAAGTGAAAGTAGGAAAAGTCTTTTGATAAAGTCCTAGGGCAGGAATGGCAAACCAAGTCTATAGTACAGCACTAGCAAGAAAAGAAATGTAAAAAATAAAAAATCGATACCCACTCTATAGGTGGTGAAAATCTCTAAGGAAAGCAAGAGCTCTGGGTCAAGAGTAGAAGTAGCAAAGCATACACAAAGGAAAAGAGACAGACTGCCGGCATTAAGTGACATACACAAATGGTATGTGTAAAGACCGTATTAAAAATCAGTATAATACCACCAATGACATTAAGCATGTTGCACAACAGAGAACTGACCTACCCACTAACTATGAATAGAGACATGACCTATTCATTCCATTGAACAAACATCATAGAGCACCTATATATTAGCCGATAGGAAGGGGCTGACTGTAAAAAGATGAATGAATTTGCATTCAAAGTGCCTGTAATTAGAAGGGAGGGTTGGGAATAAGAGACCTGAGCCAATTTTTAGAGCAGTTTAAGCTCCACATGAAGGAGCAAAATCCAGTAAGTAACAAGTAAGTAACTTGGTCTACCTTGGAAGGAAGCTGCAGGACCTAGGTCAAGGAGTTCAGTAAAAGGCATAGCACAAAGATAGTATCAAAATAAAACATCAGGTTAGCAATTGCAAGGATAAATATAATACCAGCAGCCATTGTCCAACAAAACTCCTTAAGAGTTTTGTGAAGCAAAAGCTCACAGTTGACTGAGTCAGGCATTGTGTTAAAAGGGAAAGAGCTGTCTCCGCCCAATCCTCTCATTAACTAGACCAGGTAGGAATTACTCTCATCTGCATTTCTACTGATAAGGTGATGGAAGCCTAAAGAGGTCGAGAACTTGCCCAAGGTTCACAGTTAATAAATGGTTGACTTTGGATTATAATTAAGGTGTGCCTGACCCTAACCTCTCAGCCAGTTGGAGACTCAGTAACTAAGAATAAAAAAAAAGTCAAGCATAATTTGATTTACCATTAAAATAACTAGCTGATGTGGTCAATTCTGTAAAACAAATTAGTCAATTCACTGGGGAAAGAAAATCAGCCAAACGGATTGCTTGGCATCGTGTGGCCCAATTAGTTAATAAACTGAACTGCTCCCTTGTAGGGAGCCAAGTCTACCACAGATACAAAGGCAGTGAAAAGAGGAAGGATTTTGGCCCCAGCCTGGCTCAGATTTTGAAGGTGACAGACCCAGCAGGTGACCTTGGGCAAGGCACTTAGGTACTATGAGGCTCAGAATCCTCCTCAGTAAAAAGGTAGCAATAATATCTCTTTCTCAGGAGTTCGTAAGGATTAAGTAAGATACAAGTATAAAACGGTGAGCACAGCACCTTGGACAGAGTAAACTCAAAATTAATGGCAACTAATTATCATTATCAGTAGACTGGGTTCAAACTCTGGCTCCACCAAGGACAAGCTGTAGGGCCTTAAGGTACATTCATTCATGTGACAAACATATATTAAACATATTAACAGTAATGATTCATAATCAATAATAAGCACTAAATGCATATTAA